ACTTACATTTGATAGTAATGCAATCAAACTTAAATGTATTGATTACATTGCACTTGATTGTTTGATTAGATAGGAAATCCGGGCTAACAGTGTATTACATGAGAATGTACAGGTGTTCTCTCCTACCTCATCCGTTATCTGGCCTCCAAAAGTAACCCACGTGCCTGCACAAAAACAAAATGATTACAGTTTGTGAGGGTGTTACAGCAGAAGATCAGGGATTCTTTAGTCATGCTTAAAAAAATTAACAAAGAACAACAAATTAAACAAATCTCAGTATTTTCCAGTTTGCAAGCCAGCATTTGAGAGTGTGCAGGCATAGATCTGTCAGAGCAGAATGACATTTGTGCATGAGTGAAGACAGAATTTAACAGATATTTTGAGTCAGCAAGAGGAAATGGGTAACTAAATTTCAGCGAGTTATAGGGCTTCTCACTCAGAATTATCAAAGCTGCTCAATCTCATTTTCAGAAATGTGAATCCCCTAAACGGAGCATAATCTGGCATGTCTTAAAATGATTTATTATTTTTGGCACAACTGGTTTCAACTGTACCAGCAGTAACTGTGTGTCTGAAATGAATCCATCTTCCTCTCACTCACTTGCCTATATATTAGATACTGAGTAGTATACTTAATTATCGTGATTTTGCATCGTCAATTCAATGAAATTGGAATTCTACACACTTATGGAGTTAGAAGGACAACCTTCTGGCCTCTCTAACTTTATCTGTGATCACTCATTTTAAATGTCAGTGGCCAATTACACAGCTGTTATTAATCTGTTATAAATGCTGATTTAGCGGTTATGAGATGATGAAGCAGTGCAGCAGCAAGCTGTAAAAATTTTTTTTATATTGTTGTTTTTTGCTAACTTTATCTCAATGTTAACCATAAAGGCTTTATTTTGAAAGTGTAACTGGACATTGCATATTTATTGTTGCTAACTTGACCGCAGAGCCCTGTGAGTCCACAAATAATGCTAGACGGTTACCTACAGTGTAAAATTTTGAAGCACTGACCAGGCAGCTGTTTTTAATGCGTTGGGAGTAATAACATGTACGTTAACCTGCAAATCGAAAAGCACTTGAACTTATTTGCTGCTTATTCAGTTCCTTTGTCTAGAGATATTATGCACTTATAGTCATTGTAGATGGGCTTGTACTCACCTAATCCAAGACAGGACACCCTCAGCCCTGATTTTCCCAGATTTCTGTTGACAAAAAAACATATCATCTAGTAAGAAAAGAAAATTATAATGTATATATCATACTATCAATATATTCTAATATATCATTAAAGTGCAAGTGAGAGGGTTCTATAGCCCTCACCAGTGTCTGTAGCTACTAACTAAATTCATTTGCCACCATATAGAGTCCATATTGTATACAATAAGCCTTTTTCACAGTAGCCATTTATAGTAAGCATATGTTACTACCAACATTATTGATTGTTCTATTCAAGTGCCTCATTAAGTGGAGCTTAATTAGCTTGATTAACCCTATCCTGGAGCTACCTATCTGTTCAGTCAGCAGTCACTGCGATCAGAAACCAATGTGTTTGTTACACTTATTTCATGTTTTTTCATGTAAATGTATATTTTTAGTCTACTTATGCATTCAGTCAGCCAGCAGCTGTTTTTTTTACATAATATGCTTATCATAAGCTTCCATAGTTTTTTCAATACATCTTCTTTATTTCAGCATGAGTAAATCTGTGATTGAACTCGTGGTCTGTTGAAGAAAGCCGAGAACATGCATTTATCCAAATTACTTAGACCTGACTTTACCTAGTCCCACCACCTTAGTCTGTTTTAGCCTATGTGAAACATATGAAGCCAGGATGCTCTGACTAGACTAGGTCAAACCTAGCTTTTTCAGTTATCCTGGCTTTCCCAACAACTGCACGTATGCATGTTCTTCTGCTTGTTAATGCCATAGAATCTACTGGAGCTACTACACCTGAAAGTATGTAACTGTATATTCCAACCACAGAAATTCCACCTTCCCTGCTTTTGTGAGAACCATATAGTTTATTTTGTGGTTTAGGGTTAGTCAACTAAAACACTCAGTTTATGCATCCATGAACCTCTGGCATATTGGGATTAAAGTGATGCAGTTTTAATGGTGTAATATATGTTCTTAGAATCCAAATATATTGTAACAATTTGAGCCGTGTGTTGATGAAAACAGGCAATTCAATGACAAATTGCTTTTATCTTATCATCTCATATCAATCCTAAATCTCAATGTTTCATTTTATAAAAAATAATATCTGTCAAAGATCCAGTCTGTGATTGTCTGCATGGCAATTATAAATATATAACCAGCTTGGATAGTACCATATTTATGTGCATTTATTCCAGTGCGTTGCTAATATCAGGTGCCATCACAAAACATGCTAGCTTTCTCTGCAGCATTCCCACCTGCTAGCACCACAAGAAAAGAGAAGCTTATGACTTTGAAGTTCTGAAGTTTGAAAATTCTGCCACATGATGGCCTAATGTTTAAATAAAATGTTTGTTAGCCTCCTGTCATTTTGCAAGAGCAACTCAACACAAGTTGAGTTATCCCTGCCTTAATTGCTTGTAATTGGTTGTTTTGTTGGTTAGTTGGATATTTATATTAGCCACTTTGAGAATTGAACATCTTACCTGTAGACCATGCCAGTGGCATATGATATGCTGTCCCTGAGTGAAACATGGTTCATCCTAAGGAAATCCTCCAGGTTTTTCAGCTGGGCAGCAGCACGAACCTCTCTTAGGCGTTGGAACTCTGCTAACTGGCTGCTGCGCTGCTGCTTTTCTTCCTGCTCCAGTGCTTGCTCCGACAAGAAACAGCTCAGGCCACTGTGCACACTCTCGTTCATGGATGACAGGGACAGTATCTTGCCTCCAGACCCACTGCTGATGCTACTGCTTCGACATATCCCACTGCTGTCTCGACTCCCAGGGGGCACCCCTCCACCGCCCCCAGGCTTGGGCATCTAGAAGTTGATGGTAAATCAAAATCAGGAGTAGTATAGAGCGATGGCTGTAAATATCACCCTTCCCACTGCCATGTGCATCAGGGCTAGTAACATAGTCACATCTGTGTGTCATGGTCTCTGCTCTGTCTCTGCTGTCTGCATTATTCAAGTACAAACACTGAATCATGCATGGGTGATGTATGTAGTAGTATGTAGTATGTGATGGACTGATGCATTAATTCTTTGTGTAGAATGAAAAGATGAACATGCACATGACAATGCTGTTTAAAACAGTGCAAGATCTATACTCACATACTAGGTGCCTGGGTAGACATCTGTAGAATTGTGGCATGCATGAGGATAATTTGCTTTGTGGAGACATAGCACTGTCTGCTGAAGAAAGAATTAAAAGACAAGATGATCTTTTAAGAACTCACATTTACAATTAATTAAAGATTCTCTGCTAAATTGACAAAATATGGAGGATGATTCTGCCTCTGCAATCTTCCCCTACCCCCCGTAATCATTGTGTACCCCTACAGGACAGATTTTTCCCCCGTTTGATAACAATTTAAGCCATATACAGTATTACTGGGATGGATCCAGAATTGATTTGGAGATCATTGTCGAACTGAGCCTCGTGCAGTGCAGGTATACAGTGAAGATGTGGAACATACGTTATTTTCGATGCAGATCAGGTGCAGTTCCAGCCATGCAAACACAAGGCTTAAAGTCCAGATTGAATGAAAAAATGCCTTTAACACTTTAAGGTTATATCCCCTGTCATATTGTACCCCTATTTAACAAAGAAAGAAAAATAAATCATTTCCTCTACCTGTAAAACAAAATGTGACGCATGCTTACATAAGCTTGAACCAACCAATTTCAACCAATAATATCATGACATCTACCCATCAATCAATCTTGAGACTTTAGCAACAGAATGGCTTTCTGCTGGAGCAGAGTGTGTCTGGGGGACAGACCTCACTGATTACTGAACAAAAACACAACTTTATTACTTCTTCATGCTCTGCCTCAACTGCTGCTGTAGCTGCCATCAGCAAGCAACAGAACTGGGCTCAGCAGCCTCCCAGTGAACATTGCTGGACCAAGACTGAACAACGTCAGAGTTTGAAGACAGCGGTACAGAGGTTTCCTGATGGACTCCTTGCTAAAAGTAGCTAACTGCTGCAAATGGTAATGTTAGCTGCTGTTATCTAGTTAGCTTGTGCAGGTAACATTAGCTAACTCAGCCCAGTGTTGCCAGGAGTGCCAAGAAAACCACCTCGGTACCATATTCCCTGTTGTCAAGCTGACCTGTCAGCATTGAATGCTGTATTTGGTCCAAACTGACCGTACTGTTCACTGGGAACTCCAAGTCCAGCAGAGTCATCTAATAGGTCTGCTATAGCTGTTTGATGGGGGGGACGTAACACACATTCAGTGCTATTGGTCCCTCCCTAGCTGTTTGTTTACAGGAAATGTAAATATGTGGAAGTAAACAGCACTCTGCTTTTTGTTTCATGCGAACTTTAAGATTCTTGATGTACTCCACCCTTGGCGTACCACCAGATGAGCAAATTATGTCAGTCTAAACAGAGACATGACCATTTTCACCATGACCATAACAGCTAATAGAGTTGCTATCATGTGAATAAAATGCATTCATAGTGACTCTCGAGAAGGAGGTGAAAACATTCTAAAACTGGTGTAAAATGTTAAACTATTTGATATAAATTATCTTGGCCAAATTAAATGAATGCAAAAACCATGAGTTGCGCAGCATTACGTAATTGAATTTCTCTGCGGACCCCCAACTCTGAATTCCAGTATCTCTGCATGTGAGACTGCGAAAAAAACAACAACCTTGAAGATGTCACTGGCTGCTGGATGAGGTTAGAAAAATATGGCTTTTACTTTTATTGTAAGGTAAGTAAGGTAACACTGTCACTGAATCATAGAGTAACATAGATTTCTGTGGCCAGAGATGCAGCCAATATTACCTATATATTAGTTTAAAAAATTGCAGTTTTTAATAATCCTTTATGCCTGTTTTTACAGATAATATTGCAAGCCTAAAAAGTGATATTTATTTAAAATAAACACTGTAATAGATTTCCATAAGCTCATAAACCCAGACAATACAGCTGTATAATAACTTTACATTTCCTCACATTCAAATAAATCAAGAGAACAATGTCTGCTCTCTGCATTTTCTTAACCTGGTTGAGCGCATATGCCAGAAAATCCCCAAGCACTCAATAATTAAAGACCCTCTTTCCACATCCTGATGACAAAGACAGAACATATCATCTAGCAACTAACAGAAGAGCAACTGTGTCTCAAAAAGAAAAAGGACAAGAGAAAAAGACATAATCAGATGTGGAACTATCTTGGGCCACCATGATCTTCCCCTTTTCACAATTCTGTAGAGTACTCCAGACATAAGCAGCATATTCATGCAATGTCAAACCTTTTCTCCCTTTATCAATCAATCCATCCACACTACTCACCCGAGTGGTTGGCGTTCGGCCGATGTATGGGTTCTGGACTACACTGCTCATGATAGAGCTTGGGGATGGCCAGATAAAGCAGTATGTGTTTTACTCAGCCTAAATGTCAAGCAGAGGGGCTGCTGGATTCCTTTAAACGTAGCTGGTGGAGGAGTTAATATGGCTCTCCACTCCCTCCTACTTGGTCACACGGCACACAAAGAGCCCAATCAGCAACACTGTCTGCACTGCAGAGGCCAGGAAATAATCTCACAAATAAATTATTTATCTTGGTACTAAAACTAGCATCTGCACTAAAAGCTTGTGATTGTCTGTAACATCAGAAAGCAAGCTAAAAGGCTGTCACTGTGCTTGTATCAGTGATGTATCTTTTTTCAAACTATAGGTATTTATTAAGAGGACAACCACTACTACTACCACTGGGCTACAAAGTGCCATAGGTGTACATTTGGGAATGTCCCTACTCACCACCAATGTCACGGTCTGACTGAATTATTCTAACTACTATTTCTAACAATCTCAAACTTGTTTTTTTAAAGGTCCAGTATGTAGTACTTTGTGGCATCTGGTGGTGTAGTTGCCAGGGTTTCCACCAGTCCTGGATAACCTGGAGAACCTGTAATTTTCAGTCATGGAAACGCCTTAAAATGGATTCCAATTAAATACTCTATGTTGTCTTGGAAAATTCTCTCCACACACAGTGAACTTCGCGTCAAGTCCATTTTGGAAAATGTGTACAGCCTGTTATTAATGATCAAATTTAGATTGTTAGACTATTGGTGGTTGATAAATACAAGGACAGTGATGTTAACTGTACATGCAATGATTTTTTTCACTCTTTACTTCTTCTTTTAATAGACTTATAGGGCTAAAAGGTTAGAAGATACATATTCCGTAAAATTAAATAAATTCTACTTGATTTGAATTGGTATTTATGGGCTGTGGCCAAATTAATGTTGGCGGTTAGAGAAAAACTGTAGTCAGTTGTAGTCAATTCACTAGACAACCAGCATTTATGGTCAAGTGCTGCCCTGTATCATATATATATATTTCAATTCAATTCAATTCACTTCAATTTTATTTGTATAGCGCCAATTCATAACAGAAGTTATCTCAGGACACTCTTTTAATAGGGCAGGT